AGCGGGTGACCCACTGCACGGACGCACGCACAGGCCGGCACCTGGCCACGTTCTCGCGTCGGCCGGGGTCGAGCCTCTACACCCTGACCACTGAGTCTCCTCCTGTCCCCGCGTCCGGTCAGGTAGCAGCGTCGGGTCAGGTGTTTGCTGCTGCTTCCAGGTCTGGTCCTGAGTCTGCCCCCTGTTCGTGTCGCCTCCTGTCTCACGAGACTCTTCTGTGGCACCACCGTCTAGGCCACCCCTCCTTGCCCCGTCTTCGGGGCATGGCTTCCCGTGTCCTTGTCTCTGGTCTTCCCCAGTCTCTCCCTCCCCTTCCTTCGGGACCAGGACCTTCCTGTGTCCCCTGTGTCGAGGGGCGCCTCAGGGCTGCTCCTCACTCCTCCCAGTTTCCCCCGACAGAGGCTCCTCTGCAGACGCTTCACATGGACGTGTGGGGCCCGGCCCCCGTCCGTGGGCAGGGTCACGAGCGCTACTTCCTGTTGGTGGTTGACGACTACTCGCGTTACACCTCAGTCTTCCCCTTGCGCAGCAAGGGTGCTGTCACTGAGGTGCTGATCGACTGGATCCGCGAGGCTCGTCTCCAGCTCAGGAGGAGCTTCGGCTCGGACTTTCCTGTTCTGCGTCTGCACTCTGACCGAGGTGGGGAGTTCTCCTCTTGCCTTCTGCGAGACTACTGTCGTGCACAGGGGATCCGCCAGACCTTTACGCTTCCGGACTCTCCACAGCAAAATGGGATTGCTGAGCGCCGCATTGGCATGGTCATGGATGTCGCTCGTACGTCCATGATGCATGCGGCTGCCCCCCATTTTCTGTGGCCGTTTGCGGTTCGGTACGCGGCGCATCAGCTCAACCTTCACCCCAGGGTCTCTCGGCCCGCGATGTCCCAAGTGTTACAGTGGACGGGGAAGGTCGGCGATGCGTCTGCGTTCCGTGTCTGGGGATCTCGGGCGTTTGTCCGCGACTTGTCTACGGACAAGCTGTCCCCCCGTGCTGCTCCCTGTGTCTTCCTTGGCTTCCCCCCTGACGCTCCAGGGTGGCAGTTCTACCACCCCTCCTCTTGTCGTGTTCTCTCCTCCCAGGACGTCACGTTTGACGAGTCAGTCCCCTTCTACCGCCTCTTCCCCTACCGTACTCCTTCCCTCCCCCCCCCACCGGACTTCCTGGTACCAGTTCCCCCCCCGGTAGACCCCCTCACCCCTCAGGTTCCTGCCCCTTCAGGTGTGTCCCAGGTAGACACGGTCGAGCCTGTCGAGGTTGCTGCTGAGTCTGGTCCTGCTGCGGGTGCTGAGCCTGGGGGTGCTGAGCCTGGGGGTGCGAGGCCGGGGGGTGCTGAGTCTGGGGGTGTTGAGCCGGGGGGTGCTGAGCCGGAGGGTGCTACGTCAGGAGCTGCTGAGCCTGGGGGTGCTGGGCCTGGAGGTGCGGAGCCTGCGCCTGCTGGACCTGGGGGCTCTCCGGTTCTTCCGTCTCGGCGGGAGCCGCTCTCTCCACAGGAGCTGCGCGAGTGGTTTGCTCGCCGCTGGAGGCGTGCTGCTGGAGCTGGAGCTTCTTCGCCTGCTGAGGGTGCTGCCGGTCCCGGAGCTGCTGGGCCTGCGAGTCCTACTGGAGCTGGAGCTACTGAGTCTGGGGGTGCTGAGTCTGGAGCTGCTGGGCCTGCGGGTCCTACTGGAGCTGGAGCTGCTGAGGGTGTTGGTGCTGAGACTACTGCTGTCTGTCCTGGCGGTGGTTCTGCTGCTGGTGCTGCTGGAGGTCCTGCCGCTGGAGGTGTTGGTGGCGCTGGTGCTGTCGCTGAGGGTGCTGGTGCTGTCCCTGCTGAGTCTGGAGCTGCCGCGCGGCCTCGGCCGTACTTCGTTCCGCTCCTACAGCAGGTTCTTGGTCTTTCTCCTTCGGTAGAGTGTCCACAGCCTGTCCAGTCGCAGTCACTGTTGGAGCCTTCCTCTCCTCTGCCTGCTCCCTCTCCTTACACTGGTCCTACTGGAGGTCTTGCTGAGCGTCGTGAGCCTGCGTCTCGTCCCGCGTCGCCGGTTCGTGCTGGTCTCGCTAGTGGTCGCGGTTCGCGTCAGCGTCCTCCTCCTGTCCCTGGCACGCACCGGATGTCTCTGCGTCCGTCCACTGCTCCTCTGCGTGCCCCTTTGCCTTCTCCTCCTGAGTCATCTCTTCCTGCGCTTGCCGACCCTGAGTCGGACTCTCTTCGCGCTGCCAGTCCTACAGTTACGCGTCTGCTTGCTACTGTCGTCACTGACCCCTCTTTTGAGTCCACTGCTGCGTCTGCTCTAGTCGCTGAGCTCGTTGACTTTGCTGCTCGCTGTCGTCTCGACTACGCTGCTAGTCTTGTTGCTGAGTCTGCGTCTGTCTGTCCTCCGTCCGTCGGGGGTGAGTGTGCTCTTGGCACGGACGTCCTAGAGGACAGGCAGGAGGAGTTACAGTGTCTAGCGGCTACTTCACCTCATCTCGCGTCTGTACTGCTTGCCCCTGAGGGAGACCCGGATGCACTAGACATCCCGACTCCGCGTTCTTACGCGGAGGCCGTAGAGGGTCCCTACTCCTCTCAGTGGCAGGCAGCTATGGATGCAGAGATGGCTTCCTGGAAGTCCACAGGCACCTACGTTGACGCGGTTCCCCCTCCTGGGGCGAACATCGTCAGTGGCATGTGGATCTTCAGGGTGAAGCGGCCGCCGGGCTCTCCACCTGTCTTCAAGGCACGGTACGTTGCTCGTGGCTTCAGTCAGCGGCAGGGAGTTGACTACTTTCAGACCTTCTCTCCCACCCCGAAGATGACCACTCTTCGGGTGCTGCTGCACATAGCCGCTCAGCGCGACTATGAGCTTCACTCTCTCGACTTCAGCACTGCGTTCCTGCAGGGTAGCCTGCACGAGGAGATCTGGCTGCGCCGTCCACCTGGCTTCACTGGGACTTTCCCTCCTGGCACCCAGTGGAGCCTCCGACGGCCAGTCTACGGTCTCCGCCAGGCACCGCGTGAGTGGCACGACACACTGAGGACTACGCTTGCGGCTCTTGGGTTTGCTCCTTCTACTGCTGACCCGTCGCTGTTTCTGCGCACCGACACTTCACTGCCGCCGTTCTACATCCTCGTGTACGTCGACGACTTGGTCTTTGCCACAGCGGACACTGCTGGACTCGCCTACGTGAAGTCCGAACTGCTGAAGAGACACACGTGCACAGACCTGGGTGAACTGCGCAGCTACCTTGGCTTGCAGATCACTCGGGACAGAGCACGCCGCACCATTACCTTGACTCAGTCACACATGGTGCAGCAGGTCCTTCAGCGCTTTGGCTTCACGTACTCCTCGCCTCAGGCCACTCCTCTGCCTACTCGCCACTCACTCTCAGCTCTGCCTTCGGATGAGTCCGTAGAGTCGAGTGGTCCGTATGCAGAGCTTGTTGGCTGCCTCATGTACCTGATGACCTGCACACGACCTGACCTTGCATACCTTCTGAGCATTCTTGCACGCTATGTTGCTCCTGGGAGACACAGACCAGAGCACATGGCTGCAGCGAAGAGGGTATTGCGCTACCTGTGCAGTACGTCGGGCATGGGGCTAGTGCTTGGAGGGCGGAGTCCAGTGGTCCTTACCGGCCACGCGGACGCTTCTTGGGCTGACGACCAGGCTACGCAGCGGTCGTCACAGGGTTACACCTTCAGCCTTGGTTCCGGCTCTGTCTCGTGGCGGTCTACTCGCTCGTCTTTGGTTCTCGGCTCCAGTTGTGAGGCTGAGATCTACGCCGGGGCCATGGCTGCACAGGAGCTTCGCTGGCTCACCTACCTGCTGACTGACCTTGGAGAGCCACCTCGTTCTCCTCCAGTGCTGTACGTAGACAACAAGGCCATGCTGGCCTTGTGTCGAGAGTAGCGCTTGGAGCACAGAACGAAGCACATTGCTCTCCGCTACTTCCTTGCTCGTGAGCTGCAGCAGCGTGGTCAGTTGCGACTTGCGTACGTGGCCTCTGAGGCCAACACTGCTGATGTGTTCACCAAGGCACTCGCGCCTTGTGACCATCAGCGCTTTTGCACCCAGCTGGGTCTTGTACCTGTCTTGCCTCACTTGCTCTCCTCTTGACTTCACTTGTACTGTGACATATATATATACCTGCTCTTGCTTGTCTAGTTTTATATATATGTCTGTACTCCTGCATGTGAACTGGCCTCTGGCCCTGCTCTTGTGCTCGGACTGTGTGGTGACTTTGTGATCCACCCTGAGCTTGCTTTGCTTTGCTTGACTGGTCTTGTGACCCCTTGTTCTCCCCCACTTTGCCTATGGGGGTGTGTCAAACATTATATATGTTCTGCTTGTGTAGGCTACAGTGGGTTAGCCTATAGGGGGTACACAATTCTAGGGTTTCCTACTTGTACTCATTTCACTGCTAGTTCATTCATTCCTGTTCGCTTATTCTCACACATACTCCATCTTAGGATTCCATAACATACTCCGTCTTAGGATTCCAGAAATTACTCCGTCTTAGGATTCCTGAAATTACTCCGTCTTAGGATTCCAGAAATTACTCCGTCATGGGCACACGAGGCTGCGTGGATCCTGCTTATTACCACTCTCATTAAGATACTCTCAAGGCTGACTGCCTTGTTTTCTTAGGACGCGGTGAAAGTGCAAATATCGCACGATTGTCTGCAAATATCGAGCCCCACAATCGAGTGGGCAGATGGATTGACGAAACATGGTGACCGTAACGTTGTAGCAATCGCAAATGAGAATTGACAGATCTCCTGCTATCAGAGATCACTCGCATTCACACACTGCACAAAGATTTTGGCCAAAAAGTGTACTGTAGCATGGTTACATCGTAGTTAATAGGGTTATTTATATGCATATTGATAGTGACTGACAATCGATTGTCTACTTTCACCGCGTCCTAACCACGCTGCCTGCTTTGCTCCCCTTCCCTGCTGACTGCCTTGTTCCTTTACCCTGATGATTGCCTTGTTCCCTTACCCTACTGTCTGCCTTGTTCCCTTACCCTGCTGCCTGATGTTTTTCTTCTCTGCGGCCGTCATCGCTGCCGTAATTCCCACCTGCCTGCAGCTTTGGAGTAGTGATGCTGGCGGTGATCACGGCCGTAAGGCCATCTACAACATCGAGTTAAACCAAGTCAAATTCAAGAAGTGGGTGCGTGTGGAAACAACAACCACCACCATCGCAGCAGCGCCCTCTACCCCTTTTCACAAGATGATTCCTCCTTTCTATACCTCTTTACCTCTTGGCCACAAATCTTCGATCTCCCTTCCTCTCCTCCCTCCCTTGTCTCCCCTTAATCATCACTGGCAGGCAGCATCCCTTGTGGCAGTAGGGGACGTGGCGGCCCTCAAGGACCCGCACCTGCAAGCACCGGACGATCTGGTGCTGTGCATGGCACGCCTGGCGCTCACCTGTACCGCCATGCCCACGGCGTCTCGCCCGGGCATGAGCCGTGTGCTGGCAGAGCTGCTGCTGCTCAAGGAGGAGTTCTATGGGGAGGACGAGGACCGCATGGCTGCCCGCATCGACCACGAGATTGAGAGCTCCGAGCAGGTTGATTTCAGCTTGGAGTTGGCGGATATTGAAGGCATTCAACATGGTAGTTAGTAACGTAATGGGAAAAACAGAAAGTTGCCTGCAAATACATAAGGGAGGAGGAAGGAGAGTTGGGAAGAGACTGGACTGGAGGAGCGTGTTGCTCATTTTCAATGACCAAAGCCCCACAATAGGTGTCTCCAGGGAGGTCTTGGCATTTGCAGACATTTCAAATGTAGAAAGCAGTAATAATAAACGTCACTCGTTTTCACAACAAACATGCAATTTTGCATAGTGAAAGATAACCTTATTGGTGTTAAGGGTCTCTAGCTTTTTTGGCACACCTGAAGATGTATTCACTTTTTTATGACAGAAGACTCTTCACACTATCATTCGCACACCATGCGACGCACACCATGCGACACACCATGATGCGACACACACCATGTGTGTGACTTTACATGCTACATGAATGGGTTTTCTATGGTATTTCTGCCTCTCTGAATCAAAAAGGCCATCCAAACGCAACTGAATTGAATCTTTCTTCAGCAACCCTTGCACCTCTGTTCACCCCTCTGCACTTCTTTGCATCCCTCTGCACCTGTCTGCACATGATTGGGCCGACCAGGTGGACCTCATTACCTCGCACGCCTGGGCATCTGCAGAGTGCTGGTGGTGCACTCCAACGGGCTCAATGAGGTCCCCCCCAATGGGTCAGTCAGTCCCCCCCAATGGGTCAATCAGTCCGCCCCATAGGTCAGTCAGTCCACCGTGGCCACCTCAGCTTCCTCTGTGGATGCACATTCAGCTACCTTTATGGCAGATATTTATGCGCCTAGATGATGATGGCAGATTTCATGCAAATCAGCACTCCGCTACCTTCATGGTAGCACCATGCCATGAAGCATTGATGCTGTTTGATCTAGTTCCAGCTCTTGCATGTGCACATGGGATTTGGTTATGCATCTGCAGTGTATTCTCACATTTGATTTCAGTAGTTGACACTGCTCGTTGATTTGCGTCCTGTGCAGTCCGTATTTCTCTATTACTGCTCTTCATCTCAGTCTCAATTCCCATGGTGTGTTGTCTCGTTCAGTTCTTCCTGGCCTCCCTTCTTCCATCTTTTTCAGTTGTTCTTTCTATTCTCCCTCCCCCTGTCCCTCTCCCTTCACTTGTACCTCTACCCCCTCCGTCCCTCTTTTCCCCATGTCCCTCTTCCCCTCTGTCCTGCGCATGTGCCTTTTCCTCCCCTGTCCCTCTCCCGCTGCCTCTCTCACAGGTCCAGCAGACATTCTCGAAATGACACAAGACTCGGTTCGCCCCTTCCCTGTCGACCCCTGTAAGTAATACTCCCTTTCTCAAGAGATACTAAGCGGAAAGGACGACTAGGAAAGGAGGGTGACACAAATACAACCCTAACATGAGCTATACTCTCTATAGCATGCCTCATTACAGCCCAGTACATGGAAATATATGTTTGACACCCTTATCCATACCCTAGTCAATCCTGTGGATGAAAAAGTTACTACTTGTGCTATTGTTTTATTTTTTATTGTTATATTTTTTTCCCTTGTCATGTGTTCATCAGATTTCACTTTCGCCGTGTGCTATGGACATGAATTGAAATTTGCTGAACAAGTAGCAATTGTTCAAAGTCTTCACTCGCTCTGATAGGTTAGACGTTTTTTTGGCATGCATGTACTTTGACATATCGGCTACCCCTCTACAGCCTACACATATATATCATGCATGTACTTTGACAGTAGCTGTGGCTGATTTAACTTGAATGAGATTGAGGCTCTTAGCTGAACAGCACCATTCCAAAAACCTCCTGCAACTCGGAGATGTTCACGGGAAGATGTCTTGCTGGGTTGCGCACCAGGGTTGCACTGGGGTTGGTTTCACCGGGGTTGCGCACTGGGGTTGCACTGGGGTTACGCTAGGGTTGCGCTGGGGTTGCGCTTGTTGCGCTGGGGTTGCGGTGGAGTTGAGCACTGGGGTTGAGCAATGGGGTTGAGCACTGGGGTTGAGCACTGGGGTTGAACACTTAGGTTGAGCACTGGGGTGGTGCAACATGCCACCATACCATGCTGCAGAGGGCACACCGGGAAGGCAAGCAGAGAAGGCAAGCAGAGAAGGCAAGCAGGGAAGGCAAGAAGGGAGGACAAGCAGGGAGGGCAAACAGGGAGGGCGAGCAGGGAGTGCGAGCAGGGAGGGCGAGCAGGGAGGGAAAGAAGGGAGGAGAGGGCAATTAGGGAGGGCAAGCAAGGAGGGCAAACAGGGAAGGCAAGCAGGGAGGCAAGCAGGGAAGGGCAAACAGGGAGGGAAAGCAGAGAGGGCATGCAGGAAGGGCAAGAAGGGAGGGCAAGCAGGGAGGGCTAGTAGGGAAGGAAAGAGGCTAGCAGGGAGGGAAAGAGGGCTAGCAGGGAGGGAAAAAGGGCTAGCAAGGAGAAAAAGAGGGCTAGCAAGGAGGGAAAGAGGGCTAGCAGGGAGGGAAAGAGGGCTAGCAGGTAGGGAAAGAGGGCTATCAGGGAGGGAAAGAGGGCTATCAGGGAGGGAAAGAGGGCTATCAGGGAGGGAAAGAGGGCTAGCAGGGAGGGAGAGAGGGCTATCATGGAGGGAAAGAGGGCTATCAGGGAGGGAAAAAGGGCTAGCAGGGAGGGAAAGAGGGCTATCAGGGAGGGAAAGAGGACTATCAGGGAGGGAAAGAGGGCTAGCAGGGAGGGAAAGAGGGCTATCAGGGAGGGAAAGAGGGATATCATGGAGGGAAAGAGGGCTAGCAGGGAGGGAAAGAGGGCTAGCAGGGAGGGAAAGCAGGGAGGGCAAGCAGGAAGGGCAAGCAGGGAGGGAAAGCAAAGAGGGAAAGCACGGAGTGTGAGCTTACCTCATGGCGGCATCTAAAGCTTTGAGAATCTCCCCATTCATGTAGTCGTTAGGGTGGAGCAAAATCACTGCCTGGGTTGGTGACTGCTAGCAGGTGACGGCGAGCTGGTGATTGCCAGTTGGTGATTGCCAGTTGGTGATTGCCAGCAGGTGACTGCCAGCTGGTGACTGCCAGGTGGTGACTGCCAACTGGTGACTGCCAGCTCACCCACCGTGGTGCTGTGCACATCGAATGTGTGCAGCACAATTATTGCCGTTCGGTTGCCCACCAGGCTCAGGGGAGACGGAAGGGATTGTGAGGGGTGCAGGAAAGGTGAGAGGGTTAAGGAGACGCGATGACATGGGAGAGAGGAGGACGGGAGAGGGGTAGCAGGGGCTGAATCTGGTGGGTGCAGATGTGGGTTGAAAATGCTCCTTTGGTAAACCAATTTGCCATCAGCACATCACGCTGGCACAGGAGTGGCGCCCGTGGATCTTTGCTGCTGCACTGCTGCTGGTTCTGCCACTTGGAGCGCCAGGAGCAGCAGTGTTGGCCTCACGTGGCTCTTGCTGGCGCAGTTGAGGTTCCATTAGGAGTGGGAGCTGGTGGAAGCACCTCACTCGTACAAGAGAGCCATCCATGGCACACTCACCTTCTCTGCTGCTCCCCTGTTGTTCCCAACCAGGGGGCTGCCCGAACAAAAACAAAACAAGGCAAGCGTGATAACCAAAGCAACACCACATGAAAACATAATGCCTCCTCGTGATCACAAGGGAAAGGATGAAATGACGCTCATTACATGACATTCAACGCTCCCAGCAAGGCCTCCGAGTACTTGATACATGGGTGATGTGAGCGGAGCTGCAAAAACACAAACGTTTGCCCAGATTTGTCACAATTAGGTGTTACACATACCATCAAGAGGTTGGTTCTGACAGAGCATCAATAATTTATCAAACATTATAAAAAATAAGAAAAAAACTTTAACAGCAGCCACGACAGCAGCCACGACAACAACCACGACAACAACGACAACAACAACGACGACAACAACGACGACAACGACGACGACGACGATGACGACGACGACGGCAACAACAACAACAACAACAACAACAACAACAACAACAACAACAACAACAACAACAACAACAACAACAACAACAACAACAACAACAACAACAACAACAACAACAACAACAACAACAACAACAACAACAACAATGACATAACATTGAAAGAATTTGCCAAACGCACAGAAGTTTGCATCATTGGAGAAAATCTGAACCAGCACATGGCAGCATAATGCACAGCTATGGCAATGCATGGTTGCAGCATGTGCTTTTAGGTGTGTCAGATTAATGGCACTAGTTTCCTTCGTCTAGGCTATCTAAGCAATCTCCTTTCTCATCATATGCATAAAATCGATGTAACGTTAGGGCGAAGGTGAGGTGGTTCCTTCCATCATGCTCTACAAGAACAGCTGCAGAAAATTTTTGCCTGATATGATGGCTTCCTATTACCTTGCCTTGCACCTATTTGCTTCCATGCCGCACCACCTTCCTGCTTGTAATGTTTTCCCCCATGCACCTCCTAATAGCATGCCTTGAACAAATTTGCCTCCATGTTTCACCACCCTCTTGCCAATCATGTTTTCCTCCTTCCAACTCCTATTAGCATGCCTTGCATTTTTTTGCCTCCATGCCTTACCACCCATCCGCCTGTCATGTTTTACCCCAAGCACCTCTCTGTCAATTTGATAGGTATGGATACCAAGTTGGAAACCACTCGTTGGCAAAGAGTTTTTTACTCTAGGCATTTTCCCCAGATTTGAGATTGGTTTCCAATCCTTTTGTCAAGTAGCAATCGACTGGTCCAACTTTCCCAAGCCCTTTGAGTTGGTTTCCCAAGCCCTTCGAGTTGGTTCGGGGAGTTTGGGCGAACACGAAGAATACATCTAGCTTTCAAAATAGTAAGGAACGAGGAGCCATAGCGAGGGTTTACCTAGCTAGGCAACAGAGAATTAGGCAAAGGAGGAGGTTCACTAGCAAGCAGGTGGATACATTTAGGAAACCCTAAGGGGTCATACTCACTACAGAGTACCCCAATGCAGGCTAGATAAACTAGACATTTTGACACACCCCCATAGTCAAACTGGGGTATAATCAGCAAAGCAAGCAGTCATAGAGCAGGTTCACAAGGGCAAGCACAGCTAGAGGCATTCACAACGGGCACGTGAGGAGGAGGAGGCTGGACTGTGAGAGGAGAGGAGATGGGAGGCAACAGCTGAAGCTGCAGACACACGGGCAACAGGAGCGGCTGGCACAGTGGCTACCGAGAGCAAGACAGGCTCCGGACTACAGGAGTAACTCGCTCCGCGGCTACGACGAGCGGCAGGAGCAACGGACCCACGGGCGACAGGCACAACAGGCTCGCTGGGCTACCGAGAGCAAGACAGGCTCCGGACTACTGGCGTTGCAGGCAACATGACGGCAGCCTCCACGAAACTTCTCCCAACTATACCACCCCCCCTTTCACACACCCCCTGCAGCACCCCTAGTTCCACTCCCTTGTCACCCCACTAGCACCACTCCTTCGGCTCCCACACACCCACCCCCCTTAGCGGCAGCTGCAGCAGTGCGAGACGGAGGAGGAGGAGGAGCAGGGAACGGCTCACACACCCGCCACCCCCATACCCGTCACCCCCATACCCTGAGTGTGCGGTAAGCGAGCTCATGTGTGCGCGGAGAGTGCACAAGCATGCGGGAAGCGAACTCGGGTGTGCGGTAAGCAGACTCAGGTGTGCGTAGAGGGGGGGGGCGCAGGGCGACGCGCGGGTTGACGGGGACGGGCGCACGGGTCCCCAGGGGCGGCGCGCGGGTCGACGAGGCCGCCGCGAAGGGCGATGAAGAGCCGCGCGCGGGTCGACGGGGCCGCCGTGAAGGAGGACGGGGAGCTGCGCGCGGATCGACGGGGCTGCCGCGAAGGGAGACGGGGAGCCGCGCGTGATAAGAAACGAGGGATGAATGCATTGAGCAGAATGAGGAGTACAAGTAGTAAGCCCTAAAGAGATGTACCCCATATGAACTGCCCCACTAGAGCCTACACGGACTATAGCATATATGCCTGACACACCCCCATAGGCAAAGTGGGGGAGAACAAGGGGTCACAAGACCAGTCAAGCAAAGCAAAGCAAGCTCACGGTGGATCACAATGTCACCACACAGTCCGAGCACAAGAGCAAGGCCACAAGGCCAGCTCACATGCAAGATCATATATATAAAAGTAATCAAGCAAGTGTAGGTATAGAAAGAGTACAGTACAAACAAGGTCAAGAAGTGAGCAAGTGAGGCCAAGTAGGCACAAGACCTAGCATAGCACACAAGCCCTGATGATCACAAGGCGGAAGGGCCTTGGTAAAGATATCAGCAGTGTTGGCCTCAGAGGCCACGTAGGTGAGGCGGAGCTGACCACGCTGCTGCAGCTCACGAGCCAGGAAGTAGCGAAGAGCAATGTGCTTCGTTCTGTGCTCCAGTCTGTGCTCCCGACACACGGCCAGCATGGCCTTGTTGTCTACGTATAGAACTGGAGGAGAATGAGGCGGCTCTCCTAGGTCAGTCAGCAGGTAGGTGAGCTAGCGTAGCTTCTGTGCAGCCATGGCCCCCGCGTAGATCTCAGCCTCACAGCTCGAGGTGAGAACAGAAGATGAGCGGGTAGACCACCACGAAACAGAGTCGGAGCCAAGGCTGAAAGTGTAACCCTGTGACGACCGCTGTGTCGGCTGGTCGTCAGCCCAAGAAGCGTCTGTGTGACCTGTGAGGACCACTCGACGTCGCCCTCCATGCACTAGCCCCATGCTTGACGTACTGCACAAGTAGCGCAACACCCTCTTTGCTGCAGCCATGTGCTCTGGTCGCTGTCTCCCAGGAGCAACTTAGCGTGCCAAGATGCTAAGAGGGTATGCAAGGTCAGGTCGTGTGCAGGTCATCAGGTACATGAGGCAGCCAACAAGCTCTGGGTATGGGCCACTCGGCTCTACGAACTCATCCGAAGGCAGAGCTGAGAGCAAGTGGAGAGTAGACAGAGGAGTGGCCTGAGGCAAGGAGTACGTGAAGTCGAAGCGCTGAAGGACCTGCTGCACCATGTGTGACTGAGTCAGGGTAAGGGTGCGCTGTGCTCTGTCCCGGGTGATCTGCAAGCCAAGGTAGCTACGTAGTTCACCCAGGTCTGTGCACGTGTGTCTCTTCTGCAGCTCGGACTTCACGTGGGCGAGTCCAGCAGTGTCAGCAGTAGCAAAGACCAAGTCGTCGACGTACACGAGGAAGTAGAATGGCAGCAAAGAGGTGTCGGTGCGTAGAAACAGTGACGGGTAGGCAGTAGAAGGAGCAAACCCAAGAGCCGCAAGTGTAGTGCTCAATGTGTCTTGCCACTCACGTGGCGCCTTGCAGAGACCGTAGACTGGCCGCTTGAGGCTCCACTGGGTACCACGAGGAAACGACCCGGTGAAGCCAAGTGGACGGCGCACCCAGATCTCCTCGTGCAGGCTGCCCTGCAGGAAAGTTGTGCTGAAGTCAAGAGAGTGAAGCTCGTAGTCACGCTGAGCGGCTATGTGCAGCAGCATCCAAAGAGTGGTCATCTTCGGGGTGGGAGAGAAGGTCTGAAAGTAGTCAACTCCCTGCCGCTGACTGATGCCTCGAGCCACGTAACACGCCTTGAGACAGGCGGAGAACCCGGCGACCGCTTCACCCTGAAAATCCACATGCCACTGACGATGTTCGCCCTAGGTGGGGGAACCTCGTCGACGTAGGTGCCTGTGGACTTCCAGGAAGCCATCTCTGCGTCCATGGCTGACTGCCACTGAGAGGAGTAGGGACCCTCGATCGCCTCAGCGTACGATTGAGTAGTCGGGATGTCTGGTGCATCCGGGTCTCCCTCAGGGGCAATCAGCGTGGACACGAGATGAGGCAAAGCAGCAGCAAAGCACTGGAACTCCTCCTGCCTGGCCTTAAGGACGTCCATGCTAAGAGCACACCCACCCCTAACGGACGGAGGACAGACAGACTCAGACTCAGCAACGAGACTAGTGGTGTAGTCTAGACGACAGCGCGCAGCAAAGTCAACAAGCTCGGCAACCAAGGCGACGCAGTAGTGGACTCAAAGGAAGGGTCAGTGACAACAGTGGCCAGGAGACGCGTGACAGTAGGACTGGCAGCACGAAGAGAGTCAGACTCAGGGTCAGGAAGGATAGGAAGAGAGGACTCTAGAGGAGACGGCAGCGAGACACGAAGGGGAGCAGTGGAAGGACGCACTGCCATCTGGTGTGTGCTTGGAACCGCAGAAGGACGCGGACGCGGAACACGACGACTAGTGCGAGCAGTGCGAACAGGCGACGCAGGACGTGACGCACGCTCACGACGCTCAGCAAGACCTCCAGTAGGACAAGTGTAGGGAGAAGTAGCAAGAAGAGGGGATGCGGGCTGTAACTCTGACTGCGACTGGACGGGCAGTGGACACTCTAAGGGAGGACCAGGACCAGTAGAGGGCGGGAGACCAAGAACCTGCTCAAGGAGCGGAACGAAGTACGGCCTCGGCCGCGTAGCGCCTCCAGAACCAGCAGGGACGACACCAATACCCCTAGCAGCAGCACCAGCGCCAGCAGCACCTCCAACTCCAACAGCGCCAACTCCAGAACCCTCAGACGCACCAGCGCCAGCAGAAACACCAGCGCCAACACCCCTAGTAGCTCGAGCTCCAGCAGCTCCAGCACCGCCAGCAGTTCGAGCAGGACCAACTCCAGCAGCTCCAGCAGCACCCCAAGTCCCACCAGCTCCAGTACCGCCAGTACGAGCACCTTCTGAACCAACAGCAATAGTAGTGCCTCCAGTTCCAGCAGCACGGCTCCAGCGCCGGGCAAACCACTCGCGCAGCTCCTACGGAGAGAGTGGCTCCCCCCTCGACGAAGCACCGCCGGCGGCCACACGAGCAGACATAGCGCCCCCAAGCTCCGCACCCCAAGGCTCCGCACCCTCTGACTCAGCACCCCCAGGCTCAGCACCCCCAGGCTCAGCACCCCCAGACTCAGCACCCGCAGGCTCAACACCTCCAGACCCGGCACCCGCAGGCTTAGCACCTCTAGCAGCACCAGAGTCAACAACTACCTCGACAGGCTCGACTGCGTCTACCTCGGACACACCTGACGGGCCAGGACCCCGAGAGGTGAGGGGGTCTACCGAGGGTGGACCTGGCACAAGGAAGAGCGGCGACGGGGGAAGGGGCGCAGCGCGGTAGGGGAAGAGACGGTAGTAAGGCATTGACTCGTCAAAGTTGACGTCCTGGGAGGACAGAATACGGCGCGAGGTGGGGTGGTAAAACTGCCAAGCGGGCGCGTCAGGGGGGAAGCCAAGGAAGACGCAGGGAACAGCACAGGGAGACAGCTTGTCCACAGACAAGTCGCGGACAAACGCCCGAGATCCCTAGACCCGAAACGCAGACGCATCGCCAACCTTCCCCGTCCACCGCAAGGTGGGGGAGGTCTCTGGCAAGGAGACCCGGGGCTGAAGGTTGAGCTGATGCGCCGCATACGGAACCGCAAACGGCCACAGAAAATCGGGGGCAGCCGCATGGATCATGGACGTACGAGCGACGTCCATGACCATACCAATGCGGCGCTCAGCAATCCCATTTTGCTGTGGAGAGGCCGGAAGCGTGAAGGTTTAGCCAATGCCTTGTGCCCGACAGAAGGCTCCCAGACGGGCAGAGGAAAACTCCCCGCCTTTGTCAGAGTGAAGATGCAGAATAGGAAAGTCGGAGCCGAAACTCTCTCTGAGCTGGAGACTAGCTGCGCGGATCTAGTTAATCAACAACTCAGTGACGTCGCCCTTGCTGCGCAAGGGGAAGACCGTGGTGTAACGCAAGTAGTCGTCAACCACCAACAGGAAGTAACGCTCGTGCCCCTGTCCACGGACGCGGGCGGGGCCCTACACGTCCATGTGAAGAGTCTGCAGGGGAGCCTCCGTCGGAGGAAACTCGGAGGAGTGAGGGGCGGCGCGCTGTCGCCCCTCGACGCATGGAAAGCATGTAGGGGCAGGCCCCAGAGGTAGGGGAGGGAGAGACCGGGGGAGACCAGAGACAAGGACACGAGAGGCCATGGCTCGGAGACGAGGCAGAGAGGGGTGACCAAGGCGGTGGTGTCAAAGGAGAGTCTGGTGAGACAGGAGACGACACGAGCAGGGAGCAGACTAGGGACTAGACCTGGACGCCGCAGTAAACACCTGACTCAACGCAGCGACCTGACCACGCTCAGCAGCCGGAGGAGACTCAGTAGTGAGGGTGTACAGGCTCGACCCTGACCAACGGGTGAACGTGGCCAAGTGTCGGCCTGTCGGAGCACACATGAAGTGGGTCACCCGCTGTCTCACAGGAGTGAACTGGTCAACCCCCCCATCCTGTAGATCAGCTCCACTCACCAAGTTCGCAGAGAACGAGGGGAGGTAGAGACTTGACAGGGTGCCAGAGGGGGCTGCCGGACATGGTAAGACAGTGGAGAAGTGAGCAAGGACAGGACCCCTAGAGGGGTCCACCAAGGAGACCGCAACCGGCCGACTAAGCGACGTAAGTGTGGTGCGGTCTTGAAAGAAGGAGCGGGAAGCACCCGAGTCAAGGGTGAAGGTGTGTAAGGCCCGAGCCAACGCGGTACTTGAGAGGGCAGACTCACCAGCGCGCCCTAGACAACTCTCCCCAGCGAGGGATCTCAGAGGCCTCTGGGAACTGGTGCCGCCACGCGTCCGTTAGGCGGCCAAAGCAGCGCTGGGTGGAGTGCAGGCCCCCGCACTGCTCACCAGCGGGGTCGCCGGTACGGAGAACGTAGGTGCAGGGACCAGTACCCCCACCGCGCTGACGCGCAGCGTACCACTCACGAAGTTGCTGAGGGGACAGAGTCACACCACTCCGCTGCTTCTGGCGCGGACCACCAGCGGAGCCACTCCTCTGCGCAGAGCCGCGACTAGGTCCACTGCTGCCGCCGCCGCCTCCGCCACCTCCGCCGTCTCTGCCACCTCCGCCGCCTCCACCGCTCCCTCCGCCACCGCCGCCGCCTCCTCCGCCTCCACTGCTGCCACCGACACCTCCACCCCCGCCACCACTACCACCACCACCCCCACCCCCTCCACTGCCTCCACCACCACCTCCACTGCCCCCGCTAGCCCCTCCAGCGCCCTTGCCCCCCTTGCCCTTGCCGGTGTGGCGTCTCCAGCCCGGGGCAGACGCAGCGCCGACCGACTCAAAACCAACAAGGTCGGCCGCAGCAACAGAAGCAACAGTGGGCAAGAGGGGGGAGGGGGAACACCCCTCAAAGACGGGGGTGCGAGGGTCACCACGAGAGGCTCCTACAGCGAATATGCTCTTCTCTGCTGCTAGGAGGCGCTCCTCGAGGAGGTCGACGGTGAGTGTGGTGGGGCAAACTGAGAGGAAGTGGTCCCTGACTAAGCGAAGGGAGTCAGGGAGGCGGGTGACTATGTAGTAGAGGGTGATGTACATGGGGGGGGGGGTTCTTGGCACAGAACTCAGTAGGAAGCGCAGCGCGGTAGTGAATGTCACTAGTGCAAAGGTGAGTGATAAGGTTAGCGACTGTGGGAAAAGCAGCAGGAACAGGTACGGCAGCATGAGGCGACTAAGAGCAGCAGTGGCAGGGGAGGAGTAGCGTGCAACTACAGCGTCGTACAAGGTCTTAGCACTCTTGTATTGGCTAAAGTGCGCACGCTCAGCGGTTGGTAAGTGGCGACGCACAACAAGGCGAGCAGCAGCATCGCGTGTGGCCCAGTGTGAGCGAACAGTGCTGTCAGCAATCGCAGGTGGGGTGGGAGAAACACCAGAGGTGAGATCGAATAGAGAGAGTCTGTCTGCCCTATCGCACTGTAGAAATACCTGGAGATCATCGACCCTGGCCTCAAAGTCAACGGCACGGCCCTCAGCATCAAAGGTAAGGACACTGGGGGTAGCCATGACTGCAGTGGCCTAGTAGGGAATGATCTCACCAGTCCGAGTAAGTAGAGCCGGGGCGCACCAGCAGGAACAGCAGCGGCTCGACAGTAGGGCGTTCGGCGGCTCGGCAGCTCGGCTGCTGGGCAGCTCGGCTGTTGGGCGGCTCGGCTGTTGGGCAGCTCGGGTGCTGGGCGGCCCGACGGCTCGGCGGCTGGGTGGCTCGGCTGCTGGGCGGCTCGGCTGCTTGGCTGCTCGGCGGTTCGGTCACTGGGCGGCTGAGCGGTGACGGGGCCGCTAGGGGAGGGCGACAGGGCCGCAGGTGACGGCAACGGGGCCGCAGGTGGCGGCAACGGGGCCGCAGGTGGCGGCAACGGGGCCGCAGGCGGCGGCGGCGGGGCCGAAGGTGGCGGTGACGGGGCTGCAGAGGGGCCGCAAGGGGCCTAGACGGGGCCGTAGAGGGGCCGTACGGGGCCTAGACGGGGCCATAGAGGGGGCCACAAGGGGCCTAGATGGGGCGGCGACGGGGCCGTAAGGGGCCCAGACGGGGCGGCGACGGGGCCGTAAGGGGCCTATACGGGGCGGCGATGGGGGCGTAAGGGGCCTAGACGGGGCGGCGACGAGGCCGTAAGGGGCCGTAAGGGCGCCGCGAGGGGGGCCGACGGGCGTCGCGAGGGGCCGTAAGGGGCCTTAAGGGCGGCGCGAGGCGCCGTAGAGGGCAGCGCGAGGGGCCGTAAAGGGCAGCGCGAGGGGCCGTAAGGGCGGCGTAAGGGGCCGTGAGAGGGGCCGCTTAAGGCGACGCGAAGGGGCCGTGAGAGGGCGCGACGGTAGGGAGGGCACACAGAGCGCGACTCGGGCAGGAGCAAAGTGCGCTCCGGGCAGGAAAAAATATCGTGGTGGGCCCTAGGAATCGTTCCCACTAGGGAACCTGCTCGATACCATGATAAGAAACGAGGGATGAATGCATTGAGCAGAATGAGGAGTACAAGTAGTAAACCCTAAAGTGTTGTACCCCATATGAACTGCCCCACTACAGCCTACACAGACTATAGCATATATGCCTGACAGCGCGCGGGTCGACGGGGCCGCCGCGAAGGGCGACGGAGAGCCACGCGCAGGTTGACAGGGACAGGCGCGCGTGTCGACGAAACGCGAAACCGCCGCGCGCGCCTAGGGTGCGCGGTGGGCAGGAAACCGCCACGCGTCCCGAGCGCATGGCGTGCAGAAAACCGCCACGCGCCCCGAAGAAAAAATGTACATCGCATGCCACGGGGCGCGCGACAGACAGTAGGGCAGCGGAAGCAAGCGGGCCCACAGACCAGGAGCGTAACCGCTCTGATACCATGTCACAATAGTAAGCAGAACGAGGAGCCATAGCTCGGGTTTACCTAGCTAGGCAAGAGAGAATCAAGCAAAGGAGGAGGCTCACTAGCAAGCAGGTGGATACGTATAGGAAACCCTAAGGGATCATACTCACTACAGAGTATCCCACTGCAGGCTAGATACACTACATATTCAGACACTAGCACGTGAACATGCATCTGATAATCATTAGAGCAGGTTTGCATTCGCTATGTATCTTATTATGCCACAACTGTCAAATGATTCTGTCACAATGGTCTCGATAGTTCTTCGACTCATCCGTCCCTTCAATTTATGTTTTTGGTAATGCCTAAATCTGTTACGATCAGGAATGCCGAGTATAATTTGATATCATGACATTCGCTACTGTAAGGAAAATTCCTTTTCCTTCCTTCGCATCCCCGCTCACCGCGTACATCACTGTAGTACCTCAGTCAGCACCGTTACCACTCACATCAATAATCCGCCCGCCATTTTTCGCATGTCGCACCCCGACCTCACGGCTCGGCGGTAACCCGCGCTCCGGACCACCGCCTCGACACTTTTTCCAACCTCAGTCCCAGGCCCGTCACGCGGCAGCCACAGTCCATTACCGTTACCACTGTAATTTCGCTATATAATCCTTCGCTCATGCCTTCGCTCATTGTACTCTTGCTTCGATAGTGCAATCTTCGTTCGCTCACTCCATTGCACCCGTAACACTTGGTATTCAGAGCCTACGATCTCTTCTCGGACCGCATTCACACCTTCGTTTCCCCACTATCTCAATTTTTGGGGGGGGTAGACGTCTCTCAGCGATCAAGCACCGCCGCTCGTAGTGCTCTCTCGTAAGCACGCACGGCCACGACAGAGGCTCTCGCTGCGCTTGCCCGACACCCCCGCCATGGCTGAATTTACACTTGCGACGTTGACGCAGGAGCAGCTTGACCGTCTGATCCGTCAAGTTGAAGAATCAGCACTCGAGATTGCGACGCTCACGGCAGAACGTGACTCCGCACGTCAGCAATCTGCGGCGAATGCTCCAGCGTCACAAAAGGCACCTGCACAGTCAGACGAGCCGATTGTCATCTCGTCCGGCACACCAACACAGCACGACAGCGTGGGACAGCGCTCAGGCGCAGCCAGTGACAGCACCGCCCAGCCAATGCCTGGCATGGGAGGAAACCGGGTCGCACCAAGCCCACGGGAGCCTCGTGAAGCCCGTCGGCACGTGGAGTTTGCGGCAACAAGTGGCGACCAGGCAATCATGGCGCCGATGCCACTCAAGCCGCAGCGCCCGCCCTGTTTCGACCCGAGCCAGCGTGGTGGTCCGACGGTTCAGTCGTGGATCTTCACGATGAACGTGTTTTTTTACGCGAACTACGTCGAGTCGGACGCAGCGAAGATACGATACGCCGTCTCGCTGTTGAGGGGCCCCGCTATGGACTGGTGGCGAGTCATCGTGACGTCGCCACGCGCCTACAAGCCACCGTCGCAAGAGGAAGGGCCCGCGGGCCCAGCAGTCAACTGGATTTCATTCTGCGAAACCGCCCAATACAGCACGTGGGATGCGTGGTGCGTAGGGCTTCGGGCGCGCTTCGAGCCGATCGCGGCTTCTATCTCGGCGCGTCAGAAACTGCGCACTTGGCGGTAGCTCGGGTCAGTTCAAGACTACACGAGCGGTTTTCTCGCATTATGCGAGCAGGTCGGCTACATGCACGAAGCGGAGCGGGTGGACCGTTACGTCGGAGGGCTAAAGCCGGAAATCTCGCAGGAAATAATGCTACGCGGACTCTCGAATTTCAACGAGATTCTCGCGCTCGCCGAGAAAATCGACATTTTGTGCCGTCCGAGACCGGGGTCCTACTACGGACATCGTCCTCGAGGACCGGTCGAGCACGCCACCGTACACGCCGTTGCGACGAATGCAGCTGCCGCACCATTCAAGGGGAGCTGCTTTGCTTGCATCAGGCCGGGCCATCGTAAAAGTGAGTGTCCAGAGGAGCTAAGGCGCCGCGGAGCAGAGCAAGGAAAGGAGTCTCAGAGGCAGGGAAACGCCAGCAGTCAGTAGAAATTGGGCCGACTACTGACGAGACTGCCTGCTCGCCCAACCACACCGACCCTCACCGAGTCACAGTACCGATTCACGCTATCGATTGGGCTCGGATGAATAAGGAGGGTACAGCGACGGATTGCCCAGTACTGATCCACGGGAAAATACAGGGAGCAGCAGTCAAGATTTTTATCGACGGAGGAGCTAGTCACAGTTTAGTTAATACCGCGACCGCACAGAAACTTCAACTGACACTTAGCCGATGCTTACCTGAGATTGATGCACGCTTAGTCGACGGCACGCCGCTGGCCATACGGGAGAAGGTGGAGAGAGTAAAAGTTCGCTGCGGAGGGAACTTCGGGTTTACACAAGAAATGCTCGCGACGACACTGGATGGGCACGATATTTTACTAGGACGTGATTGGTTGCGATGTTACAATCCGAGAATCGACTGGACGACAGGCAGCTGCACTGTGCGAAGTAGTGGTAACTGGGTCGAACTACCACGCTGGCACTCGCCTGAGTCGTCGACGGTCCACGTCAACGCCATAACAATGAAACGGGCAGTCGCCGCTGGAGCTGACGTGTATGCAGTGGACATCGCAGTGGTAGGAAAAGATGAGCAGCCGAGTGATTTTCAGAAACTGCTGACAACGGTACCGCCTGAACTACAGGAGCTATTGAAACGGTACCCGGGGATTTTCCCCGACGACTTACCGGAAGGACTGCCACCTCAGCGGGCGCACGACCATAGGATAGAGTTAGAGCCGGGGGCACAGCCAACTGTACAGCGCCAGTTCAGACTGGCACAGCCGGAGCTCGACGAACTGAGGAAGCAGTTAGATTACCTGTTAGCGAAGCAGTTTATCCGACCGAGCTCGTCGCCGTTCGCCGCAGCGATACTATTCACACCAAAAAAAGATGGAGGGTTTTGCATGTGCATCGATTACCGAGCGCTCAACAGGGTTACAGTGAAGTCACGATACCCCATTCCCCGCGCCGACGAACTGATCGACCAACTGCGAACAGCACGGGTGTTCTCGAAGATAGATTTACGGGGAGGTTACCACCAGATTAGAGTCGAACCATCGGACTGCGTCAAGACAGCTTTTAGGACTAGGTACGGATCGTTCAAGTATACCGTGATGCCTTTCGGGCTGACCAACGCACCCGCAACATTCCAGATGACCATGAACGAGGCGTTTAGACCACTTTTAGATAAGTGTGTGATAGTCTACCTCGACGACATTCTCGTCTACAGCCGCGATAAGCAGCAGCATTTAGCGGACCTGGAAGCAGTATTTAAAATTTTAGAGGAGCATCGTTTATTGACCAAGGGGTCTAAGTGCGAGTTTTTTCGGGATAGGTTAGAATTTTTGGGGCACGTTATTTCGGAGGCTGGGGTTGAGATTGACCCAAAGAAGCTGGATACGGTCAAGGCTTGGCACCCCCCGACAAACATCACGGAGCTGCAGAGTTTTTTGGGTTTTGTTAATTACGTCCGTCGGTTCGTCCCTGACATGGCACGCTTAACTGCCCCACTGACGGATCTGCTGCGGAAGGGGGTCGTTTTTACGTGGGGGGAGAAAGAGCATGCTGCCTTCTCTACCCTGAAAAATGTTCTCTGTTCACCGCCTGTCCTGCGCATTGCCGACCCACACCGCCCATTCTAAGTCATTACTGACGCAAGCGACATCGCCATCGGAGCCGTACTACTACAGGATTTCGGGAACGGCCTACAGCCTATCGCATACGAATCACGAAAGCTGCACCCACCTGAGAAGAATTACCCGATACACGATCGCGAAATGCTTGCGATCGTGCATGCTTTCAAAGTGTGGCGCTGTTACTTGACCGGCGCAGACGTGACAGTACGAACAGACCACCGATCACTACAGTATCTCCGCGCACAACCCCACCTCAACCCACGACAGATCCGCTGGCTCGATTTTCTCGAGTCGAATTTCCATTACACGGTCACTTACAAAAAGGGAGCTTCCAACATTGCCGACGCACTGACCCGCCCCACTGCCCAAATCCACGCAATACTACTCGCCCAGACTAGCCCGCTACTAACAGGACTATTTACCCACGG